CACACTTGCTCTCGCTGTGCTCCTAACGATGAAACGTCCCTCCTTTGTCCCCTTCGCAAGGTTGCCGGAGAGGACGGCGTTGTTCGAGTGCATGTTCCCTTCTCCCTCTCTGACCTATCAGCTACTGAGAAGCGCCTAGGGTCATTTTCCACCAATCCTACTGCTTACACCAAAGAACTCCGCTACCTCACCCAGGCTTAGGACCTCACCTGACATGATACCTAAGTGATTCTGTCCTCCACCCTCACCCCAGATGAGCGTAACCACATCCTTACGGCGTCCCGGGCTCACCCTGATCGGGTGCATCTCACAATCAGATGCCAGTAGGTACGGCAGCGGTCCCCGAGGCCGACCCTAATTGGAATTATCAAACTGGTCAAGATGGCCGCCGGCACCGCGGGGACCAAATGTTATGGTGTCTCCTATCGGGCATGCAAAGCACAGCCCAAAAGGTAGTTAATTATGACAAGTTAAGGGAAGTAACTCAGGGTCCTACTGAAAACCCAGCCGCCTTTCTTGACCGATTAACTAATGCTATGATCCTTCATACCCGGTTGGACCCAGCCTCTTTGCCAGGGGCTACAGTTCTAGCCACCCATTTCATCTCTCAGTCAGCGGCTGACATTAGACAAAAATTTAAAAAGGCTGAGGAGGGCCCCCAAACTCCCATAGGAGACCTGGTAAACACGGCATTTAAAGTTCTTAATGGCCGAGAGGAAAAGGCTGACGCCACCCACCAGGCCCACCTACAGCAAAAGGTAAGCCTCCAAACCCAAGCTCTTGTGGCAGCCCTGAGGCCGGCAGCCCACCAGGCGCCTGGTAGAGGGGTCCGTCGAAACCCGCCAAGAACTCCAGAGTCATTCCACCTGGGCTCTGTTTCAAGTGCGGTCAGGAGGGACACCGGGCATGTCAGTGTCCATGTCCCCAACCACCTACCAAGCCCTGCCCAGATTGCAAGCAGCTTGGACACTGGCACAGTGACTGCGCATCCCAGACTACACGCCCACCCCCGCACCTCTATGTGGAGGGCAGGCCGGTCTGCAGGAAGCAATCCCATTGCTTGAACTTCTCGACCTTCTGGACGACACGCGGCCCAGACTCGGAGACCCCCATCACCCTTGCTGGGCCCAGGGTAACACTGCAGGGAGCGGGTAAGTCCATTTCCTTCTTAGTGGACACCAATAGGGGGCTACCTAATCTATATTGCCTTCCTACTCAGGACCTAGCACACCTTCCCAGGTCTCAGTCATGGGAATTGACGGCAAGCCTTCCTGTCCTAACAAACCCACCCTTCAGCCTGTGTCCTCGAGGGACACCCCTTTCCCACTCTTTTTTATTTATACCCTCGTGCCCAGTCCCCTTTTAGGACCAGACATTCTCCAGACTGTGGGGGCCACTCTCCAATTCACTGGCCCCCGACACTCAAGCCCATCATCCGCTCACCTCCGACTGCCACTCGTAACTGACGCCACGTTCTGCCCTAACGCCTCGCCTCAACCCCCTATCCCTCCTGAAGAAGTTAATCCCCTGGTATGGGATACCTCCAAGCCTGTAGTGGCCAGACATCATACTCCAGTTAAGATACTTCTCAAAAATCCTACCCACTTTCCTTCACGTCCTCAGTTCCCCATCCTGAAGACCCGCCGTCAAGGCCCGAAGCCTATCATCACCCGCCGGCTAGCTCGGGGACTACCGATTCCCACCAGTTCCCCTTCTAACACTGCTATCTTGCCAGTCCGAAAGTCGTCCGGCGACTACCGCCTGGTTCAGGACCTGCGCCTTATCAACGAGGCAGTGGTACCCCTCCACCCGGTAGTCCCCAGCCCATACACCCTAGTATCAAACATTCCCTCCACTACCTCCCATTTTACAGTTCTTGACCTCAAGGACGCCTTCTTTACCATTCCCCTTCACCGAGTCCTACTTTCGCTTTGCCTTCACCTGGACCGATCCTGACACCAACCTGTCACAACAGCTTACCTGGACGGTCCTGCCTCAGGGATTCCGAGGCAGCCCTCACATTTCTGGACAAGGCTTGCCGGCCGACCTTGGCACCTGCCCCTTCAACCCAGCCTCCCTCTCCGGGACGTGGACGACCTGTGACTGTGTAGCCCCTCCCTCTCCCTATCCCGACAGCATACTGCCACTCTCCTTAACTTCCTTGGATCTCGGGGATACCAAGTATCTCCCTCCAAAGCACAGTTATCTGTCACCTCAGTGGTCTACTTGGGCATGTGCCTCACCCCCAAAACTAAAAGCCTAACAACAGATCGCCGGAAGGCACTTCTTTCACTGCGGCCGGAGACTGCCGACCGGAATCTCTCCTTTTAGGATTTGTAGGATTCTTCCGCCACTGGATACCTAACTTTGCCTCTCTAGCTAAACCTCTGTATGTGGCGGCTAAGACACCCCCACGGGACCCCTCTCCCATCCTGAGGTCGTAAAACGGGCTTTTAAAACCCTCCAAACTGCTCTGTCCACCACACCCCTACTTCATCTGCCGGACCTCAATCGCACCTTTTATCTGTTCACTGATGAGAAACAGGGCATTGCTGTCGGGGTTCTAACCCAACCCCTGGGTCCTGTGTTCCGCCCTGTAGCCTACTAATCGAAGCAACTTGACCCCACAGTTAGGGGGTGGCAGCCTTGCCTGCGGGCCCTGGGAGCAGCAACAGAACTTACCAAGGAATCCCTAAAACTTACCCTGGGCCAGCCTATCTCAGTGTTCTCTGCTCACCGGCTTACACACCTCCTCTCCCACAAATCCCTGGCTCACCCAGGGCCCTCTCATCTTCAGGAGTTCCCCCTGCTCTTCATTGAGAATCCTTCAGCCAGCCTTCACCCTACCTCCCCACTCAACCCAGCTACCCTGCTTCCTCTTCCATCCCCTCCCCCTTCCCCAGCCCACTCCTGCTCTGAACTAATAGACGCACTTGCCAAACCTTGGGAGGGCCTGTCCGACCTTTCCCTACCTAACCCGGACCTTACCTTCTATGTGGATGGAAGTTCAGTACTGACAGCTGACGGGTGGCGAAAAGACGCCTATGCAGTAGTCACAGATTCAGACACCCTCGAGGCACCTCGCCTCCCTGAGGGAACCACATCAGAAAAGGAGGAACTCATTGCCCTAACCCGAGCTCTTACACTAGCACAGGGAAAGCGAGCAAATATCTATACTGACTCAAAATATGCCTTTCTTATTACCCATTGCCACTCTGCCCTCTGGAGAGAGCGGGGATTCCTTACCACAAAGGGGGCCCCCCCGATAATCAATGCTAAACAGATCTCCAACCTTTTACAGGCCTTACCATTGCCCAGGGAGGTTGCAGTCACACACTGCCGAGGACACCGGGCCCAGCATGATGCCGTCTCCCGGGGCAATGCGTCGGGCAGATACAGCAGCAAGATCTTTTTTTTTTTTTTTTTTTTTTGAGACGGAGTTTCGCTCTTGTTACCCATGCTGGAGTGCAATGGCGCGATCTCAGCTCACCGCAACCTCCGCCTCCTGGGTTCAGGCAATTCTCCTGCCTCAGCCTCCTGAGTAGCTGGGATTACAGGCACGTGCCACCATGCCCAGCTAATTTTTTGTATTTTTAGTAGAGACGGGGTTTCACTATGTTGACCGGGATGGTCTCGATCTCTTGACCTCGTGATCCACCCGCCTCGGCCTCCCAAAGTGCTGGGATTACAGGCTTGAGCCACCGCACCCGGCCTAGCAGCAAGATCTTTAACGCCAAGTTAACCCTACCCCTGTTCTATTCCTTACCATGGCCACACAGCCTGTACACTCACCATCAGAAAAACAGGCCCTCATACAAAGGGGGAACAGAATCTAATCAGGGCTGGATCATCCTAAATAACAGAATCGCCCTTTCCCAGGAACAGGCCCCTGAAATTATTGCTGAAATCCACCAATCCTTACATATAGGGCCTAAGGCGTTACACCGCTTTGTACAGCCCCTCTTTTTCTCACCAGGTCTGCAACAAACAATTGAGCAGGTACACAAGGCATGCGTTACTTGCTCTATAAGTCTCACCTCAGGGAGGCTTAAGGCCACAGTTTCCTACCCACCAAATGTGTGGCAACCTACTTGCCCAAGACTGGCAAATTGACTTCACTCATATGCCCACTCACAAAAAGCTCCGCTACCTCCTAACTTTTGCAGATACCTTTTCAGGTTGGATTGAAGCCTTCCCCACCTCCCGGGAGATGGCAGACACGGTGGTCTCCCTTCTTACTCAAGAAATCATCCCTCGCTTCTGCCTAGCTGCCACCATCCAGTCGGACAACGGTCCAGCATTTACAGCCCAAGTAGTCCAGCTAGTCGCCAAGTCCCTCAACATCTCCTGGAAACGACACATCCCTAACCATCCTCAGTTGTCGGGTAAAGTTGAATGAGCCCACGGCATCCTCAAAGACCATTTGGCCAAACTTGCTATTGAGGTAAAACTCTCTTGACCCACACTCTGACCTCTTGCCCTGGCCCGGGCCACCCCACAGGGGCCAATGGGCCCTAGCCCCTCCAAACTGCTGTATGGCCAGCCTTTCCTGGTTTCCCATAATCTCCCTGTAAAACTGCCCCCACTGGCTTCCTACCTTCCCTTCCTCTCTCTCCTTCGCCACCTACTTAAGGAGCACGAGGACCGCACCCTCCCTGTTGTTCCAGGACCGGAAGACCCCCCACCCAGCGACACCTCTCCAACCAGGTGACAGCGTTCTCCTCTGATAGCTCAAACCAGGATCTTTGCAGCCCAGGTGGTCGGGACCCCACATTGTTATCCTAACCACCCCCACGGCAGCCAAACTCCTGGGTCACACTCTGTGGTACCATGTGTCCCGCCTCAAGCTGGCCCCTCAAAATAATCTATAGAAATCCGAATCTCTGGTCCCCACTCGCCTCCGCCTCACCTGTGGCCACGACCTGTTGCCCCCTAACCACTCAGAGCCTCCTCCTGATAGTCCTTCTAATACCTCCTCAGGCCAACTCATATGTTTGGCGCTTCTACATCCAGGAATCCTGGACTGAGGGCCCCACCGCCAGGACCCATTATCTTGCCCAGGCAAACTGCCAAATGGGCGGCTGTCGGTCTACTGTCTCCATCCTCATCCCACAGGGTAAAAGCGCCAGACTCGGTCGCGATCATGGGTCTCACTCTCGGCACGGGCTGTGTTTTCTATATGACCAAACCAAGGACTTCTGTCACTGGTGGAACACCACCCACGGGGGGTGCCCATACAGCCCTCGTGTTATTCACAAGCCACAGCCTCCAGGCCGTCCCAAATGCATGCTCGCTTGCTTCAGCAATGGTTCCTTAGCCCTCAACATCCGCGACCCCTGGCACAGCCACTGGGAAGCAGGAGTGTCCGGTAAAGTCTGTGAAGATTACACCTGGAGCCACCCTCAGGGAACATGGCTAATATTCCGGTCCTACACCCGCATTGTCTCTGAAGCAATGTAACAGCTCAGTTCTGTAAGCCATACAATCCTGCAAAACGAAGCCACCCTAAGTAACCAATTCAAACCCTCAGATAGCACCTCTCAACCCTTCTCGTGGTTGACTCTAGTACAGCAGGGAGCCAACATGTTAAATTTGACTAAAGCCATGAATATCACCAACTGCTTTTTATGTGCCTCTCTCAGCAACCCCCCCTTAGCTGCAGTTCCCCTCAGGTCCGGGTTCAATCTGTTAGCCACCTGCAGGACCTGGCACCATCTTAACGGAGATCCCCTTTTTCCAAGTACACCCTCAAAAATCTCTGTTATGAGACAGCCAGCAGCCCCAGTCCCAGCTGTAACACCACAGTAAGGGTAAAACCCTCCCTCTACGCGCCAGCAGGAGGATATTTCTGGTGTAATGGAACGTTGACTGAAGCTATTAATGCCTCCTTCCCTTTCCCTCGTGTGCCTGTCACCTTGGTCCCGCAGTTAGAGGTATACGGACAGGCTGAACTTCTATCCCTCCTTGCACCCTCCCGTAATCACCGAGACAGAGGAGCAGTCTTCCTCCCAATGGTCGCTGGTCTCTCTCTAGCATCCTCTCTGGTGGCGGCCGGGCTGGGTAGTGGCGCCCTAGGCTACAGTGTCACTTCAATCACTCAACTACAGGACAAGCTTCGTGTGGCTATCGAGGCGTCGGCCACCTCCCTGCCTCCCTCCAGCGACAAATCACGTCACTGGCCCAGGTAGCTCTCCAGAACCGCCGGGCCCTTGACCCGCTTTCAGCAGAAAAGGGAGGTACCTGTCTGTTTCTTCAGGAGCAGGGCTGCCATCGCATCAGTGAAACGGGCCTTGTGGCAGAAGACGTCCACGCTCTCTACCGCCTGCAAGAGGGCCTCGGCAAGCAGCAGAATGCCACACTGCCATGTGTGTACCTATGCAACAGTCTTGCATGTTCTTCACACGTACCCCAAAACCTAAAATGCAATAAAAAATAAATTAGTAAGAAGCAAAATGCATCCGTCTCGCCTCTCACCTGGAGGCGATCCCCCACGCCAACCTGGCTGACCCCCACCATCACTCCCGTTACCGCCGTTTGCCTTCTGTTAATGCTGGACCCTTTCTTCCTCGGGTTTTTACAGGCCCGCATGAGGGAAATTTCCAGGGTGCCCATAAACCAGATACTACTTCAGCCCTATGTCCGACTCCCAACCCAGGCACCAGCCAACTAACGCCCCCCCCTCACTCCACCCCTATTCAGCAGGAAGTAGCCAGCAAGAAGCCGCGTCCTGTATTACCAAAACTGTCGGAAAGTAAGGCCGGTTGCTTCGTTGGGAGGCTGGACACACCCACCTCTGCACCCGGCACCACGCTCTGCACCCGGCACCACGCTCTGCACCCGGCACCACGCTCTGCACCCCGCCCCCTGGCTCTGCACCCGGCACCAGGCTCTGCACTCAGCACCAGGCATCAGGCTCTGCACTGGGCACCTGGCTCTGCACTCAGCACCAGGCACCAGGCTCTGCACTCGGCACCAGGCTCTGCTGCATGGCTCCCTGGGAAGGCTCCGGCTAATGCAACCCTGGCCAGCTCTCTCACTGGAAAACCCGCCCAACAACCCGCCAACCAACAGCGGCCGACCCCATCAGAGCACCCAGCTGCTGCTCGTTCCTCCTAGCCATAAACCTCCCCCCCACCATAAACTGGCATTTAATTTTCTTATACTGGCCTCAGTTTCCTCATTTTAAACTCGGCAATAACCCTTACAATCATCACCCTCACGCCACCCGCAGCAGCCCTTCTTCCAGTACTGGCAAGAACGTACTCAGCCAGTGGCATTCATGTCAATTAGCTGCACGGTCCCCGGAGCCCCGTAAACACATCAAGAGGGCCCGTGCGCGGGGGCTCACGCCTGAATGCCAGCACTTAGGGAGGGGAAGCAGTAGGATGGCTTGAGCCCAGGGGCTCAAGGCCAGCCTGGGATTCACAGAGAGACCCCTCTCTACAAAAAAATACAAAATAAACAAACACCTGTTGTGGCCCCAGCTACCCAGGAGACTGAGGAAGGCGGCCCGCTTGAGCCTGGGAGTTCCGAGGCTGCCGTACTGCACTCCTCCAGAGCGAGACCCTGTCTCAAAAGAATAATATAAAGACAGACATTGAGGGCGTGCTGGGACCAACAACTCGCCCCCACTACTGCCCGTTGCTTTTCATTCATGCGCCTCGTTTTAAATTAAAGGACTTTGCAACCTGGTGTCCAGCCGGTGTCCCAGTTTAAGTCTAGTTTCTGGGGAGGCTGAGGCCGGGTGGGTGGCGGGAGGTGGTGCAGCGCAGCACGGGGGCCGCGTGGACGGGGTCCTGGGAGCAGGCACGGGGCCGGTCTGCAGGCGCCGCCCGCGCGCGCGGCTCACCCTGACCTCCAGGCCGCGGGACACCTGCCGCTGGCTCCGCTGGGGCGGTGTCCCGACAGCCAAGGGCCCGCGGGTCAGCGTAGGCCACAGCAGGGGCGACTCCGCTGCGCCCCCCACGCCCCCGGCAGCCCAGCCCTTCCCCCCGGCGACCCACCCCCGCCAAAGACTGGGGCGGGTAAGCTTAGCCACCTTGGTCCGGGGACTCGGGTGGGTGGCCTGAAGCCCGCACCGCTCCCCTAACTCGGGACCGCGCCCAGATACTCCGCAGGCGTGAGGGGCGGGGCTGGAGCCCCGACCTGCCCTCCAGGAGCCCCCAGTCCACAGGCAGCCGGGGAGCGCTAAGCGGTTCGAACAGACCTGCCAGTGAGGAACCTGCGGCCAGGGCCCAGCTCCGGCTCTAGACGCCAAGCAAGTCCGCGAGCAACGGAACTCCGCCGCCGAGGAAGGCCCGCGGGGCCCCCGTGCACGCGGAAGCAAGGCCCACGCAGGGCGGGACGGCGCAGGCCCAGGGGAGGACCCCGGAAACAGCGCAAAGGACTAGGTTGGGCCGCAGAGAACGTTTGCTGGGAAATGAGGCTCGCCAATAGCAAAACACGGCTAACCCACGTCAGCCGGTAAGAACTTCGCTTGGGGCCGGGCGCGGTGGCTCAAGCCTGTCATCCCAGCACTTTGGGAGGCCGAGGCAGGTGGATCACGAGGTCGAGAGATCGAGACCATCCTGGTCAACATGGTGAAACCCCGTCTCTACTAAAAATACAAAAAATTAGCTGGGCATGGTGGCGCGTGCCTGTAATCCCAGCTACTCAGGAGGCTGAGGCAGGAGAATTGCCTGAACCCGGGAGGCGGAGGTTGCGGTGAGCCGAGATCGCGCCATTGCACTCCAGCCTGGGTAACAAGAGCGAAACTCCGTCTCAAAAAAAAAAAAAAACTTAGCTTGGTAGAGGGACGGGGAAGGCGTTCGGGATGTTGGTCAAAGGATACAAAATTTGGGGCCCGGTGCGGTGGCTCACGCCTATAATCCCAGCACTTTAGGAGACAGAAGCGGGCAGATCACGTGGGGTAGGAAGTTCGAGACCAGCCTCACCAACATAGAGAAACCCGTCTCTACCAAAAATACAAAATTAGCCGGGCATGGTGGCACATGCCTGTAATCGCAGCTACTGGGGAGGTTGAGGCAGGAGAATCACTTGAACCCAGGAGGTGGAGACTTAGGTGAGCCAATGTCGTGTCATTTCACTCAGCCTGGGCAACTAGAGAGAAATTCTGTCTCAAAAATAAATAAAGTAAGTAAGTGAGGTAATGGATATGTTAATTAGCTTGATTTAGACACCCAGTGTATACATACTGTGTATCACACATCATGTTGTACATCATACATGTATACAGTTTTGTCAATTTTTTTAAAAAAGATATTAGCTCATATTAGTATTTCAATCAGCCAGCCCAGGAATATTTGATAGAGAAGGGGCAGGGGCAGATCCCAAGAGACTAGAGAAGGAGCAAATCAGCTATCATCGGGTCAGTGGAGCCTCAGCTTGCCCAGGGACTGCAGAGGTGTCAGGAGAAGCCAGCATGTACTGCAGCGGCAGACAGCACCAAACCTCAAGGCTGACCACAGCGAAGGTGCGACTCCCCTCACACAAGGTGCATTTCATATCTGGGCAACTCTCGGAGGAGCAGTCACCCTGGTGGCAGGCAATGGCTCAGTGTCCACCCAAGATGTCCTACCTGGTCACTGTGGGAAGAAAGAATGAGAGGACCTGGAGAGTCAGACTGGCAGGTAAATGCCTCCCCCTGGAGGTGACATAGCCTTCACCCATCACATGACCCCACTTACTGTGAGGGATCCAGGAGTGTCATCTCCCAGGGACCTGGAAGGAGAGGAGAGCCCAATGGGGTTGGCGCTGAAAGTCTCCATCAGCCAAGGGTGGGAGCCTGCGGACTGGCTCTACCTATGCGCTGCTTTGGTAGGGGCTACACTCTACCTATGCGCTGCCTGGGGCTACACTCTGTCACCTGTCAGCTGCATACAGGTGCTCCTGGACTTACTATGGGATCACATCCCAGCAAACCCATTGTAGGTTGAAGATGTGATAAGGTGAAAATGCATGTAATACTCTTAACCTACTGAGCACCATAGCCCAGCCCACCCTCCATGAGCTCAGAACACTCATTTCGCCTACAGCTGGGCAAATTGTCTGGCAGCACATTCCCCTGTAGGGCTGTTTACCATCTCGATTGCGTGGCTGCTGTCCAGCATTGAGAGTATCTAACTCCTTCATACTGAATACATATTGCTTTCTCACCATTATAAAGTCAGAAGAATTATAAGTGGAACCATTGTAAGTCGGTGACCCTCTGTAATTACATGGCCTTCTGATTGGCTTGTTGGAAGTCACAAGGTGTGATCCCAGAGTGCTATGGGGAAGTCTCATGTGGCTGAAGCTGCACTCAAACCAACCACCCCTTCCTGCAGTGAGGCCCCACTTAGGAACACATGCACTCGGGAGGCAGGCAGAGAATGCAGCATGGGAGTGGCCTGCCGAGGTCACTCCCAATCTCTATTTGTTCGTGGACCTCTTTCATGTATGAGAGTGAAAACATGACCCAGGACTATCCCCAGCTCTGCCTCTCCAGCCGAAGGACTGGGCTTATGACCCAAGGGGAATGAGTGAGAAGACCACACAGACTGTCTTGACACTGCTCGAAGCTCGAGCTTCTCTGACCTTGGAGCTGTTGATCAGGTTGCTGCTGGGAGAGCTGGTCTGAGGAAGAAACCTAAAAAGCAGGGAACAGAAGAGAATTGTGGAGAGAGAGTGTGTGTGGTAGGAGAGACAGAATATGGACCCAACTTGAGCTGCTAAAACCAACAGTACCATTCCACAGCCAATAAATTTTCTCTTTCTGTTTAAGCTAGCTTGAGCCATATCCTCAAACAGTTACAAATGAAAAATTCTAATAACTAATTGGGCTTTGGCTGCAAAGCCCAACACAGAATTCTCCTAAGCTAGGCTAATTCACTAGGAGCCCTCCTTTGGTGAGGCTCCCTTTTCCCCTAAGGCCAACCTGTTAGTGAAAAAAGCAGGTTACCTGGCCCCTGTGTGGGGACAGGAAGACACAGGCCCTTCCTTCTACTGAGGGTGCATCTATCCTGGCCCTTCCCTCTCATGCCCAGTCTTCCCAGTTCCCCTCAAGCTCATGTCCTGTGGGCCCAGGGGTGGGGATGTGACAGAAATGAGGTACTCCTAGGACCATTAGAGAGCCCCATCCCCTGTGATGTGGGGTGGCCCAGGGGTCACTGAGTAGGCCGCCTCTGCACCTCATGGGAGAGTTCCTCGTGACTACTGCAGGGCGGGTGCTACAGGGGTCAGGGTTTGGAAAACAGAGACCTTCTCAAGTGAGCTCAGGTGGAGGGGGATTTCCTAGTGGGCCCCGGGAGACCACAGCTCACCCACGTGAGGGCTCATGGGGCCTTGGGAGTGTATGCAGCTTCTCTCTTCTGCACCTGCAGGGGCTGGTTCTTCCGGCCCCTTCTAACCCCACATCCATTCTCTGCATGCCGGCTCTGCAGCCTGGTGGCCTGCCCTGGCTCACCCCAACCAGCAGCCTCAGCCCCTTGCCCATGCAGATGTCATTTCCAAAGACCTAACCACACAGCCCAAAGTCTGGCAGTTTCAGCTGCCAGATAAATGCAGAACACCCATGCAACACTGGGGATGTGCTTATACTAAACTCTTGTTCAAATCTTTATTTGAAATACAAATTTAACTGGGTATCCTGTATTTTTACTTGCTAAGAACTGACAATACTCATGGGAGGAAGGCCCCCCAGCAGGAAGAAAGGCTAAGGTGGAAAGGTAGATCCCAGGACTGCTTTCTGGGGTGCACCCCTCCCTGTGCCCACCCCACAGATATATAGGCTTTGAAGCAGGCCTTGGGCTGGCAATACCCAATCCTTACCGGCTGAGCTGTAAAGGGCTGCAGGGGTACCAGAGCAAACCCCAACTTGGGGCACAGCAGAGAAGAGGCATCCTGCTGCTCCACCATGTTCCTGGTCACCTGCGAGGGCCTCCGATGACCGGCACTCCAGGATCCTCTCCCCAGCCAGCAGCCACTCCTGGCGGTGACTACATGGAAGCTCCCAGTGGCCTTGGTGGGTATGAGACTGCTGGGGTTCATCTGTAACCTGGCCCAGGCTTTGCAGGAAAGGATGACGAATGGCCACGCCTCACACCGTGCCCACACTTCATCAAAGTGCCCGGGGGATGGTCAGTCCACCTCAGATGGCCCTGGCAGTCAGGGCTGGTGTTCCACATGCCTGGGGGGCAGCCTGCACTTGGAGCAGCCCACCCCCCAGGGTTTCCTAACTGAGCCTGCAGCAGGGAGCTAAGCCAGTGAGGATGGCAGTGGATCCTGAAGCCTGTGGCCTGAGCTCCAGTGGGAGGCTGGCTGGATGTTCAGTTCTGTCTCCTGCCTGTGATAATGAGTAGTAAAAAGGGGCTGGTCAGGTTCTTTCCAGGAAGGTAACATTGTCACACAGCTGGGCAGTGCAGTTGGAGCTTCCTGGTCTGGGAGCTCAACCAGGATGAGTGAGGGGTGAGGTGAGCAATGCCCACCTCCTTCACCCCTCCCACCCACTCGTGCTGGGCCCTGGGGGTGGGAAGAGCCAAGGGCCAAAGTCCCACATGAACACAAAGCACTTCCACCCTGCGTACCTCCTGCTGCACTGAGCGCTGTAGGAAACACACTCTTCCGGAGACTGGCCAAGCCGTGGGCTGGGCGTGGATTCTCATCATCATCTGCATTTAGAGGAGACCAGGACACAGAGGGGCTCAGAGGGGCCCAGCTGCCCCATGGACTCACATCCTTGGATGTGTGACCCTGAATTCCTCTTACCTGGACCCCAGAAACAAGTCATCCCCTAAGAAACCCCAGAGTCCCAGAGTGGTACCTAGCTGCGCAGCCCCGTTCAGCTCTCACTGGTCCTGCCTACGATGGTGGAGGCGCTCGCTTCCCCCCTCCCTCCCTCCCTTCCTTTCTTCCCTCCCTCCCTCCTTTCCTTCCTTCTTTCCTTTCCTCCTTCCCTCCCTCCCTTCCTTCCTTCCCTTTTTCCTTATGGGCTGAGTGCATGTGCCAACTCGACTGGGTGGAGCAGGGTGATCAGGACCCAAATTCAGGGACTCTTGGGGCCCCGCAGACATGACTCCTCCCGGCTCAGTGTTTGCCAAACTTAGATTATGATCCACTGAGGTTTGGACAGAAGCTCAGTGGGCGGCGATTCCTGGAAAATAGGAGTATATCACACGCAGGGTTAGTGGTTCACGAAAATGGTATCAGCTGTATACATACATGAATATACGTGCATACATTTGTACATGCATGCATCTATCAACTATGAACAAATACTTGAATTTCCTGTCGAGATGGAGGATGAGTGTAGACTGAACGTGTGTTGCATAAGGGCGAGTGTTTTGTGAAGCTGGTGCCAGTTTTAGATATCTGTCCACGCCTGTGCATACACATGCATGTGGCGGACTGTGCAGATTGCATCATCTCCTATGGGTCACAGCCAAAGATGTCTGAGCAACTCTCTTTTATTCTGTTTACTTCAAGAGAAAGAAAAAGTAACAAGCCAAAAGCCCCGGGGCTTCTCAGGAAACAGGCTGAGGGACACTTGCAGTGGGATCGGAAGGTCTGGAGGTGGAGGCACATCCTTTGCCCACCACAGATGCTGGAGGGCATGTCGACATTGCCTACAGATGTCCAGGGAAGAGCTTGGACCTGGGAGGCAGAAAGCCGGGGCGTCCATGACCTTGGCAAGCTCTCCAGCCTCCCTGATCACCTTCCTTGTCTGTCTTACCTATAAAAGATCAAGAGCCTCTTTCGGCTGTTTTTAGATTAAACACAGCACCTGCAAGGGTCCTAAGCGTGGCCCTGGAGAGACCCTTCTGTGAGTCATTCTCATAACCAAATGTTTTCAGCTTGCAGAGAAAACCCAAGCGATCCCCAATGTTGCTTACAGTGACAAAAGCCCCTCGGAAGCATCCCCACCCCCACAGCCTACAACCCGCTGAAGGGACAAAACATAGACAAAACTTAACAGAAGTAAAAACACACATGTTGATCCCAGCCCATCCCTTAGCGTGCGTAACATATACACAGGAAGGAAGTGGCCGGATGATTCAAGGAGGCTGAGCTGCAACGGCTCAGGGAAAGGAATATTTTCTGACAAGTCTGCCCTGACTGTGGTTTTGAACATGATTTCAGCCCAGTTTTGGCCCGGCCCCCGGCCCCCACCGGCACTTGTGTCTGCAGTCTAGACACAGCAGCCAGGGTGGACGCCTGCGCAGGAAGGCGCCCAGCGGGCTGCTCCCCGGCCTTGAGGTTGGAAAGAGGCTGTCGGAGCAAAGGCTGCTGCTGGCCAGCATTGGTGGGGGGCTGTGGCCGGGATGGGGAGGCGTGGACCGCTGCCCAGTCCACAGGGCTGAGGAAAGATTCAAGCTCCAAGAAGCCTGCTTCCCTGCGTGTTCCCAGCTACTGACTCACAAACAAACCTGTTTTTGATTTCTGCTCTTAGCCCACTTCAGGCCCCAGCACGTCCACCCTGTGGAACCAGGGAGCTCCAGACACGTCACTCTCAAACTCAAAAGTCCCTTCCACGCCCCTGAGATAGCAAAGACAAGTTCCGAGCCTCTCCCACCTCCATCCACAGCGTCTCCTGCTTTCCAAGCCTCTCCACACCCCAAGTCTGGCTCAGCTGGAGGCAAGCACCTGATTCGAACCTCCCTTGCTGCTGGTTCCTAGCCCTCCTTCCCAGTCCTCTGTCCGAGGAGCTGGCTTCCTGGCTCTCCAGCTGGAAAGGCTCTCTCCCCTGGTATCACTGATCCTGCATTTTACCGTGCGGGCAGCTGTATGTCCAGCTGTGTGCACCTGTATGAGACTTAGCTCTCTGAGCCTCATTCCCCCATCTGTAGAATGGGGATATTGAGAGCTGTCTGCTGAGATGAAGTAACAGATGCAAAGCAGCGAGCCTGACACACAGTCCTGGCACCAGCGCCGGGCCACGTGAATGCTTACACCCGGATTACACCACCAGTGACAATGATGGCAGGCCTCTCCCTGCCACTAGGTGGGAATTTCTCTGGGGTAGGACTTGGCTGTTCTCTCTCCATCTTCCCCGAGTTCTACAAAAGATTTCCTATATCCAGCAGATACTCAAAAAAGAAATGTGAAAGTTGGTATCCCCTCGTGGTCTGGGACCAGAAGATTCTTCGCATGGTGAGGGCAGCTAAGAGCCCGAGCTAGGCAAACTGCACCTTCTGCAGGAGGGGCAAGAGCAGCTGGAGGGGCAGCTATGGCCTTGGCTACTAGGGACTGGCATGGAACTCATGTCCCTTGCATGGAGCCTGAGTGGCCAGTCAGCCTCAGCCCACACAGGGGCAGCACTGCTTCCAGACCAAGGGCTCAGGGAGACCTCACAGGGCTGGACTCTCAGGGTGAGGGTGTTTTTGAGATGAGATTCCCTGGGGCCCACAAAAGCGCTATCGTCTGAGCCCACAGGCTGCACCGGCATCCTAGCCCATGGCCTTCAGTAGAACGGGAGGCGAGAAACAGGTGAGTCCTTCGACGGCCCTGGCATGGGGCCAGGGAAGGATTCACCCGTCCCTAGCAGACGGGGACTAGGGAAGGAGGGGACACTGGTGGAACAGAGGGGTCACCCGGGGTGGAGGAAACAGAGCCTACAGTCCTGGGAGACCAAGGTGGCTAGAGTTTTCAGAAGAGAGGACCGAAAAGGAGAGAGCTGGCAAAACAGATCCCTGGACGTCTGCAAAGGGTCTCCTCGATTACTCGCTTCATGCGTGTGAAGATACTGCCTGGGCCCGGGAAAGCCACCGTGTGGAAGTAAAGAACAGCAGCTGGGGCTCTCGGGGGCTCCCACCAGCCAGAATGCACAACTCCTGATTCACGAGGCATCGGCACAGTACTCGGCGGGTAGCCCTGGCCTAAGCACTGCTCCACACCCACCTAACAAATCATCAAAGCGAGACCCGACAGATCAAGCCATTCTCAGTAGCTTCACTGCATCTCAGAAAAAAGGCTCAAGATTCTTTATGTGTTTCTTTTTCTGTTTGGTTTTGAGAGAGTCTTACTCTGTCACCCGGAGTGCAGTGGGCGCTGGAATCACAGGCATGCACCACCATGCCCGGCTAATTTTTGTTTTTCGAACTCTTGGCCTCAAGTGATCCGCCCACCTCAGCCTCCCAAAATGTTGGGATTACAGGCATGAGCCACTGCACCCAGCCTAACATGATTTATAAGAATACAAAAATATCCAGCATCCAACACGGTAAAATTCACAACATCTGGCTTGCAGTGGAAATGACCAGGCCAGGTGCAGTAGCTCATGCCTGTAATGCCAGCACTTCGGGAGGCTGAGGCAAGAGGATGACGTGAGCCCAGGAGTTTCAGACCAGCCTGGGTAACAAAGCAAGATCTCATCTCTACAAACAACGTTAAAAGTTAGCAGGGTGTGGTGATGCATGCCTATAGTCCCAGCTACTCAGGAAGCTGAGGCAGGAGGATATCTTGAGCCCAGGAGCTTGAGGTTGCAGTGAGCCATGATCACACCACCGCACTCCAGCCTGGGCAACACAGCAAGACCTTATTTCAAAAAATAAAAGAGGAAAGAAAGAGAGAACAAGAAAGAAAACAAGAAAAGGATGGACGCAAGGAGTTGAGTTTGATTTGAGATTTAATGTTGGAATGGTTATTCTTACTATATAAAATTCTAGCGTTACCTTGTGTTCAGAACGGAGGCTATCTTGCTAGAACTTTAACTCCCCTTTCTCATAAGGATAACACTGTTGCACTCCTCCATCCCCATATTTTAAGTTTTTTCCCATGGGTGGTGAGGGACAAGGGAGCATTAGGGGAGAAGTGGCCTGTACCACCAGGAAGGAAGCTTTCTCAAGAGTCTCCTTGGTCGGCCGGGCGTGGTGGCTCAAGCCTGTAATCCCAGCACTTTGGGAGGCCGAGGCAGGCGGATCACAAGGTCGAGAGATCGAGACCATCCCGGTCAACATGGTGAAACCCCGTCTCTACTAAAAATACAAAAAATTAGCTGGGCGTGGTGGCGCGTGCCTGTAATCCCAGCTACTCAGGAGGCTGACGCAGGAGAACTGCCTGAACCCAGGAGGCGGAGGTTGCGGTGAGCCGAGATCGCGCCATTGCACTCCAGCCTGGGTAACAAGAGCGAAACTCCGTCTCAAAAAAAAAAAAAAAAAAAAAAAAAAAAAGAGTCTCCTTGGTCTTGCCTGTGAGTACCTGGTGAGAAACAATTCATTTTTAACTTCATATGTGCAATTTATATATTATATGAAATCTATTAATTGCTCTATTAATTTTACAACCTGCTGTCTTACAGAATTCTTTTATTTTTTGAGGTAGTTTTACCAACTATTTTACAGTCTTGTTCTCTAGGATTTTCCAGAGACACCATTTTGTCATCTGCAAACAGAGATGGTTCATCTTTTTCAAGTTTTATGCCTCCAATTCTTTTCTCTTACCTGATTGCTTTGGTTAATGTATTAGATAGTAATAAAACTAAGAAAATGTTTGCCTTGTTCCTAACCTTAGTAGGAATGGTTCTAGTCTTTCCTTATTAAATACCAGTGATTTTAGTATGAGGTATATACATAGTTTATAATTATAAGGAGGTATCCATTTGTTTTTTTCAAGACTGTAAGTACAAATGGGTCTTAAATGTTTTCAAAGGCTTTATTGGCCTCTATAGAAACAGTCATATAATTTTTTTCTCCTTCAACTTATTAATGTGGTCCATTTTATAGTATATTTCTTATTATTGAATCATCTTTGCATTCCTGGTATGGAATTGCTTTTCACTGCAACATTTAGTTCTGTAGTTTGAGGAAGTCTTTTTCTTTTTCTTGATTTCCACTCTCGTGTAGCCAGAGTATTTCTCAAATGTATCTATTTCCCCAGAATGAGTTCATGGCTGGTTAACTTTCAAAATCTTTTCGTATACATAAAGCATTATTTCTGCTTTCATAATCAACAGTTCAGCTTACTGTGTCTTTTTTGAGTCAAGATAGTTTTCCCTCCCACCTTGAAGGAAGCCTTCTATTTCTCCTTAGTACATGCTGCTGAGCTCAAAACTCTGCCAGTGACCTGTGCCACCCCGTCCCCTTATCCTTCTCATAGTTCTTGGCAAAGTGCCAGGTACTGATCCTCTCTCCTCCTGTCCCTTCTTTTTTATAGAGA